CAACTTTGCTCCAACGTGTTTAACAATTTATGTAAACAAATAACAAAATCCTCATAAGTGGGAAACAGAAAATTGCGCTACTAGACTCAGTAGCCGACAATCAGTAGCCACTAGCCATGCGTAATGCAAATTTTACTATATGGTTGCCCATCGGCTATCAGTCGCCATACATAATTGGGCCATTTCTTCTGCTAAGTAAAAATCGTTGATACTTATGGTAGGCGCTTATGGCGCTATTTTGTATGGCGACTGATAGCCGATGGTCAACCATTATGAATGGCAACTGGCTACTGCGTCTAGTAGCGCAATTTTCTGTTTCCCGCTTATGACGATTTTGTTATTTGTTTATATAAATTGTTAAACAAGTAAATTCGGATTTTTTCTGCGTTTTTCTGCAACTAGACTCCAGTTTCCATACACAATAGGGCTATTATACATATTTATTAAGTTCAGTGAGAGCATCATCATGATGCAATAATACAAGGTGGTATCAGTTGTCACAGCTCGATTTGACACTACCTTATCTCAGTAGAATGAGAAGAAAAACGGGAAGAGATGAATCCCCATATGGGGGAAAAATATAAAATTTCACATTTTCTCCTTAACAAAATATGCTTTTTTATAGTATATTCGTTATGATATGAAATAAAATAAGATAAAATACCTTTTAAGAAAACAAAGTGTGTATATTGAGAAAAAATAAAAAGCATTCTACTATATTAATGGGCAAAGAATAGTGAAAGAAGTAACACTGTTTCACGTAAGGTAGTCAATATGGCGGAATTAGAGCGAGAAGTTGCCAACTGATAACACCTTGAATTATTGCATCATGACTTCTCTTGGCGTTTGATAGGACATTCCTTTCGAGCGTATACACGGGCTATGGTCAGCCGTTTTTTGCAGGGTTGCTCACACATGTCATCTAGCTGGTGATGTACAAGTGAGTTTAGCGATGAAACTATTGGGAAAATATAGCGATAATTAGTAATTTTTCTGACCACTATTCTAACCTCTAAATAATTGATAAATTATTGAATAGTTGGCAGCGAAATATCCAAAAATACATGAAACCAAATTAAAAAATACAATTCGATTTATGTTATGTGTTTATTTTATTTGTAAAAATATATTGTCGAATATTAACTTAATTTCGCAAGCTTTTTCAGAGCCACTGAGCTCAGACAATTCTTCTTATTTTTCATCGGGGTCTGAATTTTCGTCGCTAAAAACGTATGCCTCAGCGCCGTTTGGTCTTTCTACCTCCATTCCTAGGTTCTGCTGGAGTCCCACGTTGGCGTTGCACTGTATTTCAGCACTATAGTCACTGACTCCATAGTCGGCATAAGCGCACTGGCCTAAAATAATTTCTTCTCTATCCACATAGCGTTAAAAAAGGTTTTTTTGCTCATTTTTATACCCGAGCGCACTTGTGCACAAGGGTATATTAATTTTGTTCACATAACGGTTGTTTGTAACAGCCAAAACGAATCGAGATAGATATAGACAAATGTATACATAAATGATCAGGATGAAAAAAGAAATCGATTAAGCCATGTCTGTCTGTCCGTCCGTCTGTCCGTCTGTCCGTCTGTCCGTCTGTCCGTCTGTCCGTCTGTCCGTGTACACGATAACTCGAGCAAAAATTGAGATATCTCAACGAAATTTGGTATGTAGGTTTCCCTTAATCCAAGGTAGGTTGGTATTGAAAATGGGCGAAATCGGACTTTAACCACGCCCACTTCCCATATAACGGTAATTTCCAGAAATACGAAAACTGCGATATTTTAGTAACTACTGAAGATAATTCACTCAAAATTGATATTTACAATAATTTTTAGACGAAAAATAAGAATATTATAAATTTTTGGAAAATGGGCGTAGCCACGCCCACTTATGGTTACATGTGTATATCTTGGTAACCGCTGCACCAATTTCTTCCAAACTTGGCACAGTTGTTGGCCTTCGCATAATATACCAAATGGCCGAAAATTTTTAAAATCGCTCAATAACCACGCCTACTTCCCATATAACGGTAATTTTCAGAAATACGAAAACTGCGATATTTTAGTAACTACTGGAGATTATTCACTCAAAATTGATATTTATAATAAGTTTTAGACGAAAAATAAGAATATTATAAATTTTTGGAAAATGGGCGTAGCCACGCCCACTTATGGTTACATGTGTATATCTTGGTAACC